TTTTCACATTTTTTACAGTTTTATCCTTCCGAAGGATTAGGTCCATCCTTTTGGCCGCCGAGTCAATAGCCTTACCCCTTTAATGGATCAAATCCTGTTTAGCCTAGGTGTCCCGCCGTGGGCAAAATTGCTTTTATCCTAGTGTTAGGTCAAAGAGTCGCCGCACTCATTTTAGGGTTTCCCGCCGCGGAATCCCTAACCTAACTCTAATGCACTTAACAATTTATAACATAGAGATCGGAGTTTAAGACTCCATGTAAGCGTGTCCTTAAGATGCGTTTATTCCCCTTGAGACCTTGACCACAGTCAAGAAGTCTCTAACCTCCCTTTTGAGGGGAACTACAATTACTCTGATTCCATGCCCGTAAGGATATGTAGGCACAAGATGCGACGTCTTGCCGAGTAAACTTAGAATTAACCCCTAGGTCTTTTTTAATTTTCAATCCTTTGTACATACCCTAAAGCAAAATAATTAATGAAATAAATAAAAAAAATAAACAAAAGGTTCCCGTAGAGTACTACGGAAGTTTAGGGTGCTAATACCTTCCCTAATCTTAACCAACCCCCGAACCTTAGGTCTCTCCCCTTTAGGTTTTTCCTTTCTTTAACCTTTCCTTCGGATAAATCAAAGACCGGTTGTAAATGAATTAAGATTCAAGTTAATCAATAGCTTGACATCCAAATTTCACCGCAACACTATGCAATGCAGAAATACGAAAATGAAAATGAAACATAAGCCAAGTGCGAGATCTAGTTGGTCAAATTTTGGGGTACAACAGCTGCCCCTATTCAAACGACTTGGACCTGAAGGGATGAAAAGCGAACGACTTTCAAACATTCAAGGTAAAAGATGGTTGAATACCAAAGAACCCCGAAATTTGTCAACCGCAAAACAAAACTGCAGACTGGTCACTAGAATAAAATCTCTGGAAATAATTGAATTGATAGTTGCAACAACAAACTAACTGATTACCAATCCGAAAACATCGACACGCAGTCGGAAGAACATCTGCTAATGCGCAGGCAATGACACTAAGTCAAAAAGATCATCTGATTTCACCATCAGGCATCTGTATTACAAAATAGGCATCGAATCCGAAGGCCGAATCAACCACAGTTGATAAACTTCTGCTAACCAACAGACATTCGCTAAATTAAAGCGAGCATCAGACCCGAAGGCCGGATCAACACGCAGTTGATAAGCATCTGCTAACTAGCAGGCATTCGTTAAATAAAAGCGAAGCATCAATCCCGAAGGCCGAATCAACACGCAGTTGTTACGCATCTGCTAACCAGCAGGCATTCGCTAAATAAAAGTGAGCATCAAACCCGAAGGCCGGATCAACACGAAGTTGATAAATGAATCTAACGATAATCCACAAGAGAACTCCGCTGGGGAAAGAGAAACTTAAACAAGCAACTCTGTTGGGAAATAGATGATAAGATGAAACACATCTGTCCAAGATTTTGCCATGGTCTGGATACCATACGGACTCAAAGAAATAACAACATTTGCCAGGGTCTGGATACCATACGGGCAAAATAAATCATCCATCTGTTGGAAATACACCTGAACACCAAGAGGTAATAACCTGGATTATATTTCACATGCATATGTTTGAAAATGGCGTAATGCTCCATACAAAATGGAAATGCTACGTGTTTCTGAGAAGGATATGCATAACGCAGATGCACCAGAACTGAATCAGCCAAATAAATGCTGAAGGGACAAAGCCAACTCCGCCGGGGAGAAACGGAACATGCCAATTACGATTGGACTTAAACTGGGAAAAATAAGCCCTGGATGGACTTCTAGAAAAGAAACTTTCCTGTGTAACATCGTTCCAACGAGAACGAGAATCTATCCTACTAGGGATCAAAATCAACACTTGCTAAGGAAAATGCCTTGAACGACCTTCCAGAATACAACTCTTCTGGGGAATAGACGACCCGACTGGGGAAAGACAACCAAACGCTGGAGATAAGTCTAACCTACTGGGGGAAATCAACGACTCTGCAGGGGAAAACAATCAATCACTGAGCTAACTTTGCTTTACCGGGGAAATCATCCTTGCACGGCCTCCTAGAACACCGAAGTCCTTCTAGGGTACTGTCGCTACTGCGAAAAAGAGGCCGGCGGAAAACAGAAGAGTCGCCACCGTTCGTTATTTATCCCAAAAGAGGGAAAGGAAACGATCAGGGAAAACCTAAGAAAAAGGAATAAGACAGGTCATCGCAACCATATCTCGGGTTCGGGAGTCGGTTACGCAAGGGGAAGGTATTAGCACCCCTCACGTTCGTCGTACTCGGCGGGATCCACGCTTGGTTGTCTATCTAAAAGGGTGATTGAAACTATCTAAGCTACGATTCAGGGACAAAAGAAAATAAAAGTGACTTGGCAGAGCACCGCCGCTTTGTGCCTACGTATTCCCTCATGCAATGGGAAAGTCAGAGTCAACGTAGTTCGGAAAACTACGGGTGAAAGTGGGGAAGGTTGCTCGCTAAGACATCACGTCTTGTGCCTACTTATGCTCATCTAGTACGAGAAATCAGAGCAAATGTAGTCCGGGCTAATAAGAACACCGGTTGGTTCAAATGTTTTACCCGAGTAGAGTTAATAACTAGTTCTAGCAGATAGGTGTGTGCAACTTGATCATTGGAGACTTAGGCGTTAACTGTTTGCGGTAGAACTAAGAGTTAACAAAACTCTTTTTATGAAAAGGTTTTCCATTATTAAGGGGTCCCAAAGTACAAAAAGGAAGTTTGAAACTGTTTTTATGTCTTTTAGAGAAGAAGTGCATTGATTATTGTTTGTAACTCCTGTTGCATTAAAGACTATGACCTAGGAGCGAATGTGTCGCATATCGTCCAAAGTACATACGCTAACACTCTAGAAAATTGAGAGGAAACGACCCAATCATCATTTCTCAAGTACTTAAGGCTCGTAACGCACAACATTCGTTTGCCTTTATTAAGTGTTTTAAAGTTTTTTTTGAGATGAGAAGGAGAGAGGACAAACTAAAGGGAGACTGGTTCAAACCTAGTAGTTGTCATGCAAAATGGACCTATGATTGAGGTTAGAGGGAAACTACCTAGTATTGTCATGCATGGTTTGAGTCCTAGAGTCTATCATAATCATCCATAAACAAGGAGATTAGAGATCCTAAGGGAGCATGGTAAAGAAAAGAGAAGAAGAAAGAAGCATAAAGTAAAATGCATTATGCAAATATGCAAACATCTTATGCACAATTAGAATGATAGTGAGGGAGGAAAAAAGTGTGGGGAAAAAGCCTCCACAAGCCTATATCAACCTCAAGCATGCATATGAAAATGCAAAGAATAAGAGAGAATGAATGCACATATGAGAGTTCAAACAAATGCAAAAATTAGGTGGAAAGGGGGAAGAGGTCCTACACAATTCAAACATCAACCCTAAACCCTAAGGAAACTCAAATGGAAAGGGATGAGGACCTAAAGCAAAGGGAGAATAAGAGAGGAAATGAGACCAGCAAGGGACTCAAAATGTCATTCAACCAAAGCATCATCATGACTTGTGCAAAAGAAGCACAAAATGTCCTCATGGATTCATCATTTATAACATGCTTTAAGTACCTCCTTAGGAGGGACTAAGCCATCATAAATGGGATCTAAATGTCATAGGACAGAAGCATAGGTGAGATGAGAATGTGCATAAGCCAAATTAAGAAGAGCACATAAGAAAATGTAAGCAAAAGCATGTAAAAAGATTGAAAACATTCAAAGCATATTCACACATGAAAGCCTAATGTAAGGCCTAAAAAGAAATCACATTTCAACATGTTATGAACCAAATTATGACCTATAATTGAACCTAAACACACTTCATCATGTAATAAGAATGAATCAAAAGAATTTTTGGGTTAATTGGACTTATAAAAGTCACTTTCAAAACAAACTAGGTCACTAATGTGTATGAACATCCCCTAAGGGTAACCTACATTGGAAATTACCCTAAAAATAGGAAAAGTATTCAAATATTACCAAATAAAATCTTAAATGACCCTAAGGTCGTAACAACCAGGGGCCAAAAGCATGAGGATAAAGTCCTACCAAAACAATGCAAACATAAATGAAAACCCTAAGGGTACACCAAATGAAAGGATGAATCGAGGGTCACTAAAACTAGCCTAAAACTCTAACCAAAATTAATCAAACCAGGGGTTAAATGGTCTTAAAATATCATTTAATCTATCATGAATATGAGAAAAAATTTCCAGCTATTGGAATTGAAAATTGGTCAATAAATAAAATCAAGAACAAAAATGAAGCAATTCTAAACCAACAAAAACACCTCAAATGTAAAAATCTTTATTTAATTGAAAAATGATCAAAAAATAAAATAAAAATCCATAAAATCAAAGGACATCCTAAAATGTGTGAAAAGTATTTTTTCAAGATTTTTAAATCCAACCTTTATATAAATATTTAGTTAATCTTAACTTTTCATATTCCAATATATTTTTTTTGTATTAATTAAGAATTTATTATAGAAAATCATAATTATGTAAGGGTAGAGATGAAGTATTTTGCAAACCACATTATAGTTTTTCTTTGAATTATATTTCTATTTAAATATTATATTTATATTTGAATATTTATTAAATTGATTCATTCTACCCGTGTCTATGATTTTTCTAATTTTGGAATTTGTTATGTGCACAGAAGACTGATGAAATGAATGAGATTCATATACACTCATAACTCATCTTAGCTGTCTCTGCATCATCTTTTCGATTCTCTCTTCATTTCCACACCTTCATGAAAACCTAGCCACTCCTTCGCTCTCTATCCCTATTATATCTCTTTAATCAAAACAAATTTTTTTATTATTACTCATTAACCTTATCATGCTTCATCTTCATCTTCTCTCTTTATATATCACTTTATATATCATTCATTGATTCCTATTCAATACACAAACCAACCATTCTTGAACCACCTTAGCAACATTAACCTTAACAATGACTTACCACTCTTTAGGCTCTAAATTATACCCTTACCCTTCAGATGACTACGACTACATTGGTAATGAAAGTTGCACCGACTTTCAAACTGATAACGATTTTCTCTTTAATAAGTCTCTAGCTTCTTCCAATGAAAAGAAAATGAAAATCTGCATTAGAAATAGGGAGAAGAAGAGAGAGTTTCCTCCTCCTATACCTTGCCTAGCTCAAACTCAAAACCTGGCTTCTCACGTGTCGTATGTGTTGAAAAGATACTACACTGACGAGGGAAGGTTGATCATTATGGAAGAGAAAGTGAAACATCATGAGTATTTTCATGCACACAGGCAGAATGATAGACTCACGTTGCAGCTTGTTCCACTTGGTCACGATGATAACGAAGATGACTGTTTCATGGAAGTAGATAAGCAACAAGAAAAAGTAGAAAAAGAAGAGGATGAGATTAACAATGTTCCTATGGATCAAAGTGTTGTTTTGAGTGATGATTTTGAAGAAGAAAATATGGACAACACTCAAAAGAATATTGTTGTTGGTAATAATGATGATGAGGTTGCTGTTGAAGATGAGAATGAGATAATAGGGGGTGCAAATAGTAAAGCAAATTACTTAATTTGTAACAACAGTGTGATATCGTCTTCTTCTGGTATATTTGGGGTACTTCCTCTTCAACTTATTAGAACAGTTTGTGGTTGATTAGTGAATTGAGTTCAGTTTGCTATTACTTGTTAGTTGCATGCAATTTGTTAAGCTTAGTAGAACTCTTTAATAGCTAGAGATTGTAGTTGTTCTTGTTCTTTGCAATATTATTGTGTTTCTCTTTTAAAGTTTTGTTGTTATCTTCGTGACATTGAGTTTGAATGTTTTGAGAATATTAATATATCATCATCTTACTTTATGCTAGCACCAAATTCATATTTTTGGAGTAGATCTTATATCAAATTATTGCATTCCTCCATGTATGGGTTGAAAAAAAATACAACAAAATGATGATTTTTGTACTTGTAAATGCAATGTCATTGCACGTATTTTTGTTTTAAAATGTTGTTGCGATGATGATGTTGTTACCATTGCGGTTATCAATGTTTCCACTGTACTTTTTAATCACTCATAAGAATTTCTATTTCATCCTTATAAATGACACTATTTACTAACATATTAAAATTAAGGGTAATGCTAACTTGTGTCCTTGGGGCATAAGTTAAAAAATTCATTTATAGTAAATTTGTATTGAAAAAACAAATTAAAAATTAATCTTATATTTTAATTAAAGTTTGTACACAATTTCTAAGACAATATTTCTTAATTTAGTTCTTAATTTATGTCTTTGGGACACAAGTTAGCGTTACCCTAAAATTAAATGTTTATTAAAGTTGAGATTTTTTTATTAAATTTAAAGTAAATTTTTTTTGAAAGTTTTAATTTTAATGGGAAAATGAAATAGTTTAAATAAATATTAATGAAATTATATATACAATTGAAAATCACATTCTAATTAAAATGACATTGTGAGGTAGACGCCAATGCAATTATCGTGATTTAAAATGGATTAAATAAAAGCACAATATGTGCTCAACTCAAAGGGCAAAAAGCCACGAGAGCATGTATGGTTAAGCAACAAAAAAAACAAGCTAGAAAATATTTTTGTTAATAAGTAATGAGACATATGGTATAAATAAGAGCGGGTGCTCACCCATTACAACCAAGAAGCCAACAAAAATACAAAAAAAAAACATCCAACTACAAGAACCATCAAACAAACCCATTACAACCAAGAAGCCAACAAACACACCAAAAAAAACATCCAACACAAGAGCCACCAAACAAAAACAAAACATCAATTTACACCCATCAAGCCTTGGATTAAAATTCCAATCCAACCAAGAAATCATTCTATCTTTCCTAAAAAAAGCATTAAATCATTCCTAAGCTAAGAGGTTAATCATGACCAAAACATAAGTATTAAAAATGATGTCCTTAAAAGGAATGAAACTCCTACAAAATCAAATGATCCAACAAGTAACAAGATCAAAAAATCAAAATGAATCCGAAAAAGTGAAATTAAAGTCTGGTAACCTTCCCAACAAAGAGTATGCAAGAGAAGAAACGTCAACTCCAATCCAATCATAAAGTTGAGACCAAATACTGTTAGAAAAAGAGCAATCATAAAACAAATGCTCCACATCTTTCAATTTAGGGATGTCAATTGTACTCATTCCTAATGGTTACCCGTAAAAATTTCCCACAACAGGTAGGATAAATACCCTCAGAATAGACACGGGAATGAATAATTATTTACTAAAACAAGCGGATATGAGTGTTGGTACGGGTACTTTAGTACCCAGCCCACTCCATACCCTCACTATATATATTTTTTAGTTTTATTTTCATTATTATGTACACATGTTAATCTAAATTTTTTATTAAATTTTTATGCATTTTAACATAAATGTTTTTTTATTTCTTATCTCAATAATAACATCCTCAATTTTTTTAAATGTTGTTAAAAAATTAAAATAACATGATAAATTATAATTGATCGAACATTTTTTTATTAGAAATGCGGGTAAACAGGTATGTGTATGGGCACTTAGGTACCATAGCGTACAAGTACAATTATTGGTGTCCACGCGGGTATGGGCTTGAGTATGAGAATTTCTTTAAACTGCGGGTTTGGGGACGGGACTACGGTACCCTGCCCAAAACCTGCTCATTGTCATCCCTACTCCCATTCCATAAAGCATTAGGGACAAACAACATTGTGCATGCCAACAGTAATCCCTCGCTTAACCAACTCCCCCTTGTGGGCAATTTATTAAAAGCTAACCACCAACAGAAAATGAGGACTTTGCTAGGAACTTTTGTTTTCCCAAGGCTAGCTGAGGATTTAGTCTTATACAAATCCAAATAGAACGGAGGGTGACAAGAATCAAAGGCCCTCTTGCAACCATTCTTTACTAAAAAACCATTTTTATGCTTCCACCAAACAAATCAGTCTTTAACACGAGAAAAAGGCTTCTCGTCTCGCAAAATAGACATTAACACATAAAGAGAGACAACAACATCATCAAAACTCCATTTCTAAGTCAATATTCCACTTCCAAACATCATTGTTCCAAACTCCCTCGTCAAACACTTTAATCCACTCCACCTCCCTAAGCTGAAAAGAGGGGAACAACAACTCAAAAGGAGTTGAGTCCACACAAAGTTGTCTCCAAAAGTCAAAGGTTATCTCATTCACAAGCTTAAAATAAATGGAAGAAGAAAATAAATTGGAAGAGGATAAACTTCTGACGGACTCCACAATAGAAAACAAGTCCCTCCACCATAAAGAAGTCTTCCAAATTAAATAATGGGCACCCAAAACTGCACAAAACAAGTTACCATATCTACATGAAAATATATTAACCCACAAAGGAGACTCTTTATTAATAAACCTCCATTTACTTAGCAAAACAACATTAAATAGACCACAATATGTGACCCTTAAATCACCTTTCTCCTTTAGTAAGAAAATAGTATCCTAACTAGCCCACTTCTTAGAATCATTACCCCCTCCTTATAAAAAGTTTCTTTTAATCATTATGATCTCTTTAATAATAATTTTAGGAGCCTTATAATAAGAGAAAAAGAAAATGGGGATGTTGGATAACGTAAAATTCAAGAGAGTCGCCCCACCTTCAGTAAATAAAAGTCTAATATGCTACACCGTCAAACGTTTTTTAATATTGGAGACAATAGGAGCCTGTGATGCTTTCCTTCTCGGATTTCTCCCGATGGGTAAACCAAGAAACATAAAAAAGAAGTTAACCATAGCCACAAGACAAGTAATAACTCGTCACCTGCATAAAACCAGAGTCAAGATGAATACCAAAAACTTTACTCTTAGCTAGATTCACCTGACGGCTTGACACCAACTCAAAACCTCTAAGTAAAGCTTTGATTGTACAAAGATTCTTTCAAATTCCCTCTCTAATCAGAATAGAATCGTCTTCAAATTGAAATTATTCAAAATGGACTGAATCATTAAGATGGAAATCATCAAACTCCTCTAAAGAGACCACTTTATACAATAAACTAACAAAACCTTCTGCCACAAAAAGGAAGAGGAAATGAGAAAGAAGATCTCCTTGTCTTAAGTCTCTAGAATAATTAAAATTCTTTGTTGGGCTCCCATTAACAAGGAAAGATAAATATTTATTAAACACCAACATTTCTCTCCACCCACGCCATTTAATGTCAAACCCTATTTTACTCAACACACACCTCAAAAAACCCTAAGAAACAAAATCATAAGCTTTTTCAAAATCCACTTTCACCAACATACAACTTTTTTTATCCCTCATAGAAAAATATAAAATTCCATTAAATACCAAGACTCTATATATCAATTTTCTCTTAGCAAAGAAAATGGTTTGACATTTTGAAATTAGCTTGGGGATTACCAATTTCAATCTAGAGACAACAAGCTTTGACAAAATCTCATACATACATTTCAGCAAACAAATATGCCTAAACTCATCAAGAACTTGAGGATTATCTACTTTAGGAATCAAAGCGATAAAAGATCATACTTGATAATGTCCTAACTATTAGACAATAGGCTTTGATCTAGAGGGGAGAATAGATCACAAATTTAAAAACATAACTATTGGCAAAAATAGTTTTTCAAAAGTTTTATGGCACAACGAAAACAACCTAAATCTAATCGTCTAATGGAAACTACTATAAAAAAGCTCAGATGTGCAAAAGTAAACTTATGGAATGATAGTTGTCGCACCTTGAAAAATCACGGAGACATTTCGGAGAAACGACCCTCGCGCTAAAGGCACAAAATTGCGGTTCGACAGAGTCGCCACCGAACTTTATTTATCCCGAATAAACAGGAGAGGAAAATATCGAGAAAACATCTTAAAAATGGAAGGAACACGACCATTTAAACCAAATGTTCCTGGGTTTAGGAGTCGGTTTCGCAAGGGGAAGGTATTAGCACCCCTCGCGTCCATTGTACTCAATGGGAACCTCTTAATGCGGATTATGATGATTGTTAGCTAAGCTTAATTCTTCTCTTCTCAATACTAAAATACTAAATAATAATATAAAGGGATAAAACGATAAGGGAAATGGGATTGTTAGAGGATAGGGTGCTCGCCAAAGATTGGGGCCCTTGTGCCTACGTATGCTCATTCGGATGAGAATGAGAAATCAGAGTGTCGTAGTTCGACTCCAGGAAAGGATGGGGGGAAACGGAAGATGGAGGGGATTATGGAGAAAGGTAGAAGTGTGATCGCCAAGATCATCACAATCTTGTGCCTACGTATCTTACATTCAAGAATGAATGAAGAATCAGGGCGCCCGTAGTTCATGGTAACGACCACGAAGAGAAACGGGATTGAATTGAGTTTGAAGTGGATATGGATGACGATTAATCGAAGCTTAAGAAAGACTTCTCAGACCCAAGTGATCGGGAGAGTGAACCAAAGACTTGGAACTCTCTATTTTTCATCTTGAAAGAAGTTGTGTTTGAATGGTATTTGAAATGAGTGGTTGGAATCGGACGACAATTACTCGTAGCTTAAGAAAGACTTCTCGGACCCAAGTAATCGGGAGAGCGAAACAAAGACTTGGAATCTCTCTTTTTCATCACGAAAAGGAAGTTGTTTGAGTTTGAAATGGTGCTTAGAATAATGAAAAGT